CTGTGTGATCTAATTGGTCGTGAGGAGGTGATTGGCAGGAGGCGGTCTCTCAAGTACCCAGATCCACTACCATGAAGGGCTTTTAAGCATTTGCTGGAAGCCCAATTCTTCCTGGAACATGATAATCAATAGAGTGGTTTCTTTTAGTAACATGCAGGCATATTTACAGCTGTCAAGAGGCAAGCAAGAATTCCGTAGTAGCAGAACTTGGTGAAATAGAATCATGCTCCATGATGAAAGGAAATCACTACCATGTATAATTCCAAACACCTCTACAGCAATTGCAGCACAAGTTTTAGAGTTCTTATTAACATGTCTTATAAAAGAAGTACAATTCAGTTTCCTTAAAATATTGATACTTACCACCTCACCATTCTGTCCTAGCTCCATCTTATTTGTGTGGAGGGGAAGAGAACAAGGTGGCTTTCTGCGTGCTGGTTTAGGAGCTGGGACCTGAAAACAGAGGAAAACATGAAAAATAAAGAGAAAAGAGATAGATATGAAAAGAACATATGTAGTATTGGTTCTTTAAGGAATGCTCAAATCTGAATATATACACGGGGGATGTCTTATGAGGAAATCGAACTTCCCTTTGTAGTTGCATTATCCCTACCTCCTTGCCAGAATTTGATGATTGCTGTTGAAATTTTCCTGCTAGTTGGGCCACAGATGGAGCTGTGGACTTTTCCACCACCATCTTGGTCTCTGACGGTTTGTCCTGAAAGAAACCCAGAAATAAAATGTTTCTCAGTCAAAGAAATAGAGGGGTAAAAAGTTGATAAAGCTAAAACTTTTATTGTTCAAATAAAAACCTTAGTGCTGTGTAGCACATGTCTTGATGACCAAATCATCTCATTTTTTGTTTTACTACTTGAACATTTAAAGAAATAATATATTCAAATATTTTACTATTTTAGGGAATAATAAATGGTATTAGGAAATTCTTTCTAATATCTCGTATGAATGCAACTGTCATGAATATTGGTTTAAATGTTATTTTTTTTAACCTGACAACTCTTTGCCCAAATCTACTTATTAGCTCATTCCATTACTGTTACAGTAAATTTGGTTGGCAAGATAATAGCATTGTTGTTGCTGTTGATGTTATTTTTAGAGGGAAAATGGATGTATTTGTAGGTAGGTGCTGAAAAAAGAAACAAAGAAGACACTTTGGACTGCATATGGACTCGTGAGACATTTAGCTGAATTGAATACTGCTAGATGGAAAGAGATTTAGGTATAAAAAGAGGAAGAAGTTGAGAAAAAAGAAATAAATGGCTGGGAAATCATTATGGAAAGAACTCATTCAGCTAATGGAAGTTAGTAGAAGGAGGTGTAGCTGCTATCACATACAGGACTAAGAAGACAAAAACCTGTGAAGTAGTCAGAGTTGTAAAGTCTGAATTGTGCATAGCAGAACAGTTGTTATTGGAACAGAAACTTTCTAGTTCTGTGGACATACCATCTATATTGTTCAGGACCGGGTTCACTTTTCCTGCAGGAACAATTGAGACTGCTTTCTCCAAATTAAATCTGCTTGTTCCATATAGTCTAGTCAGAACAAGATGTTGTTGCTTGGGGTCTAGAACACAATCTTCTTAGTGGTGGGCCACTCCTTTTGAAATACCTCTTGAAGCCAGATTAGCCCTTCTATTCTTTAGGAGAATGGTAAAAAATATTTTAAGTCTCTTCTGCAGAGCTTTTGGAAAAGATCTTCAGTTGGAGAAAAACTATGGATATATTTTTATTTAATACTAGCTGACCCAGCATTGCCTGGGTATTTATAGACATTGAAGCGTTTGTCTGACAGGGAGCCATTGAGAGGGGCCTTTCTTCCCTCTACTCCCATGCCCCTCATCCCTGCCCTCTCCCTTCCTCCTCCCAAGCGCTGTATGAGGGAGCACGGTCAATCAAAGGCCTCTGTACTGGCCTAATCAGGCTCCCTTTGCTTCGTAGGCCTACTGTGTGATGGAAGCCTAGGCCTGAGTTGGGGCAAAGGATGATCCTGGGAACACAGGCCACAGCTGTTTCCTGCAAGATTGGGCTGCTGCAGTGAGATGGGGGCGGGCAATCTGCTTAGGCTGTAGGCCTATGAAGCAAAGGGAACCTGATTAGGCCAGTACAGAGGTCTTTGATTGAGCATGCTCCTTCACACAGTGGGCCTTTAAGGCCTGTGTTAGATCGGCGAGAAGCAGCAGGCGAGAGGCGCAAGTGAATTTCAGCACTTTTTATTGCAAAAGTAAGTGACTGCCCTCTGCCGGCTGGGCTGCCGAAGCTTGGCTTTTAAGGAGATCCGTCAGACCAGCTGGCCAATGGCAGTAGTTTAAACTTCCCGGGGTTTGGGCAACCAATCCCCGGTGAGCATGTGAAAACATGTAAATTAAGGAGCTCCGTCAGCCCAGCCGGCCAATGACAGTTGTTTAAACTTCCCGGGGTTTGGGCAACCAATCACCGAAGCATGTGAAAACATGTAAATTTAACAACGTACGTCCACATGTAACACCTAGGCCTCTCTCACACAGTAGGCCTATGAAGGGAGCATGATTCAGTCTCCTTAAAGGCCGAGGATTTCCAGAGTTATGCTGGAATACACACACACACACACACACACACACACACATAAAACAGGGGTGTCTTACCCCCACAGTGTTTGTCTCCAGAAGACAAGTCTTCTGTATACCAAGTTTGGTCAAAATTGCTTGAGACATTCCAGAGTATCTATATATCTCTATCTATATCTATTTATCTCTATCTATCTATCTATCTATCTATCTATCTATCTATCTATCTATCTATCTATCTATCT